CTATGCTGTCTCTTGCAGAGCAAGAAAACACAGATCATACAAGGTATTCTCTCTCTCCCCCTCCCCCCCCCAAAAAAAAAAAAAAAAACCCAAAATAAAAAAAACCTACAAATGCAACACACACCCCAATAAAAGCAAAAACAAATTAAAAAAGGAAAAAAGACTAAGAAAAAGCAATCGTTGAAGCTGTCTTAGGTACTCTGCGAAAGTATTTCTTTTGTGAAAAAAGCGACCTGGNATGCAACACACACCCCAATAAAAGCAAAAAAAAATTAAAAAGGAAAAAAGACTAAGAAAAAGCAATCATTGAAGCTGTCTTAGGTACTCTGCGAAAGTATTTCTTTTGTGAAAAAAGCGACCTGGATAAATCACTATCTCTCTGTTTGTATAATAAATTAGATAATGGTGTTTACGAAAACAAATTCTTCAATTTTACTCAGGCATTAGTAGAAAAAAATATCCTTCCCTAAAAGCAGTAATAGTTTTGTAAAATAGGCTGGATATGCATGCCCAACTTTCTTTGTTTTGTGCATTCTTTTCATAATAGCATTTTCATCAGTGATTTCTGTGCATCATTCAATAACATAGTACACGTAACTCTTTATGTCATGGTTATGTATTTTGTTTCTTTCCTCTAGAAAATTATACAAGATGCTTTTGCTTCGAGAAAGAGGTTGTCAAAGGAGTTCGAGCAGTTTGGAATTTGGTATGGAGACATTGATATAGAGTCCAGCCAGCAAGCACCACAAAATCTTTTATCCTCCATCCCCATTTCTTCTTTTGAGCCAAAGAAACCAGCAACTCATGATTTATGCGATTCAGAATGGGAGCTTCTATAACTGCTTAGCTTGTCTGTAGATAATTATGCACCCATGCTGGTTATGCAGCCGCTTTGCCTGTGCAGATGAATGTAGAAAGATGAACCTATTCAGAGATAGGAATTATTTCCTGTATTCGACTTTTAAAGCAGCTTTTGCGTTATTTAAATAATGCTCACGCTAATTTTCCTGTTTATTCAGAAGATGGAATGCATTATATGGGTATTACAAACAACCATAGTTGATATTATGGAATAATATATTCCATCTTGATGCTTATGCAATGTTTTTATCTGTCCAATCATTGCGTCTTTCCCCTTGCCCGAACCTTTCTGTTGGTTATTGTAGTGCTGTTATTGTTGCAGGTATCTACTACTGCAGGCTCTGTGGTGCAAGAAACCTTGCACCACATATTTGGCAATGGAAGACCATCTTTCTTCAATTACTTTGAAGTGGTCTTCTATATTTTTTTTGTATTTTTCATTTTGTAATTAAAATTTGCCAAATTTTCAGGTATGTGAATAGACAGATATGCCTCCTTTAACATGGTAAGCAAGGGCACTAAATCAGGTTTGTTCTCTTGAGGATAAGCCTGTTGTAAATATGCATACAAAATCTTATCCCAGGTATCTAGGATTCCTGGTAAATTCTGCTCTTTAGTAAAGAGCTTGCCTTTACATTCACTATAAACTGTGTATAACCATATTTCTAGAATTTTGATAATTGGGTAAGGTTTGGGAATGACAAAACGTCTGTAATTTATGCCTGCTTGGAGAGATTATTTTCACGATTCAAATTTATAACGCTCTAGTATTAGCGAATTTTTATCTCTACAGTTCTCTCAGCTGTAATTTGGCGATATTTAGTAGTTTTATTGATGTGTTTATTTATCCCGCAGAATCTTTCCATTACTTCCAAGATATTTGAAACTTTTGATTCAAAAGTATCTACTTTGATTGCAGATTTTTTCGTCCTAATCAATAAATGCGAGATACTTTTCAAAGTTGGGTGTATGATCGGGTTACAATCAAGTGCGTATAATGAAAGAAAACGAGCCAAATACGGCATNATACTTTGATTGCATATTTTTTCGTCCTAATCAATAAATGCGAGATACTTTTCAAAGTTGGGTATATGATCGGGTTACAATCAAGTGCGTATAATGAAAGAAAACGAGCCAAATACGGCATGTATAACAAACAAACAACCCTACTAATAAAAGGGGATGGTCTTTATAATTGAATCAACAATCTTACATATCCTACAATGAAAAAAAATAAAAATGACAGGTTCAAAACCAAATAATCATAGGCATGTCAATCAAGTTAACCTGGCTATCTCTCAAAGTTTCTTTCTCTTCCTTTATATTTTGACAATTTAGGAGAGTTTGAGTGAACTTGAGGGGAAAAAATATAAATAAAACTATTATAATTTTTTCTCAATAAATGGGCAAGATTTATTGTATTAAAATTAAACATTAAATCATTTGAAATTTAGATCACTTGANATTTTGACAATTTAGGAGAGTTTGAGTGAACTTGAGGGGAAAAAAAATAAATAAAACTATTATAATTTTTTCTCAATAAATGGGCAAGATTTATTGTATTAAAATTAAACATTAAATCATTTGAAATTTAGATCACTTGAATCTCAATTTACAAAGTTTAAAAATATTAATTTATTCCTTAAAAGATATAAATACGTATTAATATACACTTGAAATTAACTGTCATATATTTTGCCGTTAAAAATGTTTGAGTTAATTATAAATTGCACCCTTTAAAGTTTAAATATTTTACTTTATGATTCAAAAAGAATTCTATCTATTAATGCTCATTAAATAACTCTCAATTGTATCGTGTCATAACATTTTCGTATTGCATTTGAGTTAATATAAAAATATTTTTAACACAAAAATATATTTTCGTGTCTAGTGAATTGCATTGTATCATATATTTCACATTTATGACAATTCATATAATATTATTTATTTAAATTAAAAAATTCTTATTTTTTGCCCAAAATACTTGTTAAATAATTATTTTTGGAANCTATCTATTAATGCTCATTAAATAACTCTCAATTGTATCGTGTCATAACATTTTCGTATTGCATTTGAGTCAATATAAAAATATTTTTAACACAAAAATATATTTTCGTGTCTAGTGAATTGCATTGTATCATATATTTCACATTTATGACAATTCATATAATATTATTTATTTAAATTAAAAAATTCTTATTTTTTGCCCAAAATACTTGTTAAATAATTATTTTTGGAAAAATTTCAACCACACCCCTTCTACTTTACTATATCTTCAAGGACACCCCCTGTTAAAGAATGCAATTTTATTAAATTATCCATGATATATTTGAGGATAAATTTCATCCACACCCCCTCTAGATAAACATATCTTCAATGAGACCCCCTCTAGATAAGTATATTTTCAATGAGACTCCCGCTGTTTTCTAATTTTTTTTACGTAATTAAATTCGAACCGAATANAAAAAATTTCAACCACACCCCTTCTACTTTACTATATCTTCAAGGACACCCCCAGTTAGAGAATGCAATTTTATTAAATTATCCATGATATATTTGAGGACAAATTTCATCCACACCCCCTCTAGATAAACATATCTTCAATGAGACCCCCTCTAGATAAGTATATTTTCAATGAGACTCCCGCTGTTTTCTAATTTTTTTTACGTAATTAAATTCGAACCGAATAAAATTTGATTCAAACTAATTAAAATTTATTTTTTTACATATTAAAATTTGTGTCAATTAAAAATTATATATTTTTTATGTATTAAAATTTTGGATATTTAAAATTTTGTTTGAACCAATTAAAAATTATTTTTAATCGACTCAAATCAAATTTTAATCAATTCACATTGAATTTTAATTAGCTCAAATTTTAATATATAAAAATATATGAATTTTAATTGACACGAATTTTAATAAGTAAAAAAATATAAATTTTAATCAACTCGAAAGAGAATTTTNCTCTGTCCAGGTTTGGAGAGATTTCTCAGTTTATAGCGAAATCAGTGGTTGCTGTATTACTATTTCCTCTTAGTCTATGTTTGGTTATCCAGAAAACCGAATGTAATGAGAACAACGAAATGGAAAATCCGAAGACAAATTCAGTCGAAATTTAGCTAATAATAATAAATTAATAGCCTGATTCAGTTTATAGTTTCANCTAACAACTCGGATAGAGTTCAAATAGGCTCAAATTTTAATATGTAAAAAATAAAATTTAATAGGTTCGAATTTTTATNTTTAATCGACTCTAACAACTCGGATAGAGTTCAAATAGGCTCAAATTTTAATATGTAAAAAATAAAATTTAATAGGTTCGAATTTTTATAAAAATTTACGAATTAGTAAATAACAAATTAGTATTTACTAAAATTGTTATTTATGAATTATTTTTAAAATTTTAACAGCTCGAATTTTAATAAAATTTCATGTAGAAAAATTACTTAAGGTTATGTAGGGGCATTTTTGATATTTTAGATGAATTTTTTTTGTTAGAAATGATAGTTTAATGATAGAGGGTGTTAGTGATGTTTAAATTAAACTAGAAAGGATGTCATTGAAGATTCAGAAATTAGAGGGGTGCCTTGAAGATATGATAAATTAGAGAGGGTGTGGTTGAAAATTTTGCATTATTTTTCTATCTACAATTGTTATTTGTATTTAACTTTAATTTGATTGCACAAACAAAATATTTGTGTCTGGTTGTAGACAGAAAAACTATTTAAAGAGCATTAATGGATGGATTTAGATCATAAATATAAAATATTTAAACTTTGAAAGGTACAATTTATAATTAGTCTAAATTTTTTAACGGTAAAATAGATGAAATTAACATTAAGTGTATATTGATATGAATATATAACTTTTAAGGTATAAATTAATATTTTTAAACTTGTAAATTAAAATTTGAGTAATCTTTCCACATACAAGTAAAGATTAGCCCAAAGTAAAATTATGAATTACGAAAAATAAATTGGTCTCATTTAATTTAACTTAAATAACGAGTTCAAATTCGAGATTAAGGTCGGTCTTGAAGACACGTGATTGTGTTGAATTGAAAAGAGAGAGCGAATTTGCTATTTAGTCCAAACATTTGAAGATTTTTGAGAGCTTGCCTGATTTTATTTTGTTCAGCCACTTTGTGTTCCACTATCCGGAGAAAATGATTCGCAGTGTCGGAGGAGTTCGTATGTGTTGCCTGCGCCTCCCGTACACGGCGGAGACGCTCCTCCTTAAACCGTCCGCACTGACTTTCCGCCGCCGGAGACCTTTCGCCACCTCCTGCTCCGCATCCGCTGCGGCGAAGAAAGATAAGAACGAGAAGGTCATTGTGGTATCCGGTCCCACCGGTGCCGGGAAAAGCAGGCTCGCTCTAGAGCTCGCGAAGCGGCTTAATGGAGAAATTATCAGTGCTGATTCTGTCCAGGTTTGGAGAGATTTCTCAGTTTATAGCGAAATCAGTGGTTGCTGTATTACTATTTCCTATTACTCTATGTTTGGTTATCCAGAAAACCGAATGTAATGAGAACAACGAAATGGAAAATCCGAAGACAAATTTAGTCGAAATTTAGCTAATAATAATAAATTAATAGCCTGATTCAGTTTATAGTTTCAAAGAATGTGGGTGTTCTGGAAAGTGGAACATGTTAACATCAAAATTTACGGTGTAAGGTGACATATCAACGACAATGAATTGATTTAGTATGTCTTGTGTTATAGGTGTACCAAGGGCTTGATGTCGGATCTGCTAAACCCACTTTGAGCGAAAGACAGGTACATTGGAGCACAGGCGACTGACTGTTTAAAATTTAGTCGTTAATTCATACTTCTGACATCAATATATGATCTGTGGTCATATGTTTACTGCTCTTATGCTGTTTCATATATATTCTCTTGTATCTTCATATTATGTAAGCATGTTTTTAGTGTGTGGTTTCTCACATCTTTTGTCCGCTGAAGTAATGTTGTTCTGCTTATGGGAAAAAAGTTTAGTTGTGATTGCTCCTTGTTTAGCTGAGCTAAACACTTCCACCATGTCTGTAAAACCAAAGAGTTCCCAATGCCCTGAATGTCCCAAGGAGCAAGCAGCAGTGTCTGTGTCTTTAATCTGAGGATATCCAAGAAGGGACCTGAGTATCTGCTTGTTGGAAAAATAATGGCCTATCGAATTGTGACGTTGGAGTCTGAGATCATGGAGCATACTCGGATCAAAATGTTGGAACAAAAGCAATCAATGTGACATCTCTCTGTATGTGATGAAATGTTTAAAAATTGTGGTACTTCTCTCCTCACGAGTCCTGAATATAGTCCACTTTATGCTCATGAGTGCCTTGGAAATCAAGAAACCTTAAATCCAGTACAATGTTAATGTCTCACTGTACACCCAGAATACTTTCCTCTATACTTCTAACAACAGGAGGCCATAGAACAATAAAGGACCAAATGTTTAGCAGATCTATGTGCTATTTTTCTCAAATGAAAAAAAATATTGGAGAGCCTTAGTCTTTTATTTTCCACGATTTGATTATTAATCAATGAAATGTGATTCTATAAAGAGTTTCAACCTACTAAGGCATTGACCTCAAGGGTACTGCAAAGATTAAACCACTTTTTGAGTAAATAGGTATTGGCGTATTGCTAAGGTAGGGATGGCACAAAGATGCAAATATATCTCTGCATGTGATGTTGTCCTAGGCTCAACCATTTTGAGGGGCCAAACTCTAGATTTTGGAAAGATGGAGAGATGCAAACTTTGACGGGAGATAGAGGAAAGTTCCATGCTTCTTATATTCTTAGCTTCTTTCGCTGACAGTAGACAAATGACGTTATCAATTGAATAAGATAATTTGCATTATGATGAAGATTTTATCAGCTCTGTAAATGAGTTTTGCTGTCTATTTTATTTTGGCTCGCCTAAATTTGTAAATAGAATATGACTTCCTGTTTTGTTAATTTTTGGCATGTTCATCGTGTTGTGTTAATTGTTCCATCCTTTTTGCAGGAAGTCCCTCACCATTTAATTGATATATTGCATCCCTCTGAAGGTATATTGCCTTCTTGACCATATTGTAGGAAGTAGGTACCTTAATGGTATTTTACTTTAAAATCTACTGCTGGAGCAAAATGCCTTTGGTCAATCTACTGTAGATACTGTACTAAACCATGGATCAGAGACGTTGAGCCTGTTATTTTTTGTGTTGTATGTCATGATAGGGGCACAAACAATGAATGAACATCTGAAACTTTCAAGCAACAAGACAGAGGCCTTGGGCCTTTTTCTAGTGATGCACAAGAGGTCAAATGCTTGCATGCTTTAATTTTAGATATACCTATCTTGCTTACCTTGTATGCTTATAGTACTTCTGGGTCATAGGGTCATTCTTTGGAGAGAAGTTTAATAAGTATCAATAGTTCCATGTCTGCAATAAAACCTTGACTTCTACCAATATCGTCCTTGATATTATGCAATATATTAATATCTTCAGGGAACTTACATAGCAATTAATAGGTACAAAATTTCATTGACATATCACAAGGAGAAGAAAACCATAAGATCGCAATTAGGGTTTATTATGGGCTTTTTAAAGGTTTTCTGAGGCGCTGTGTGTGTTGATTGCATCAGCCACTCTTCACAGATAATCAAAAATAAAAACCACATCTGCACAGAATTGTTCTGTTGCATCCATTTTTGTTCTATGAGTTAACAGTATTTTCAGAAATTGACTGTAAAATATTAGAATTTAACCAATTTTTAAGATTTCTTTCTCAAATTTTCATGCTTTACCAGTTGATGTAAAGCTTAAACATTCTGTTCACAATCAGAATATTCAGTCGGACAATTTTTTGAGGATGCAAGGCAAGCTACTAGAGATATTCTCAAAGCTGGGCATGTACCAATAGTTACTGGTGGGACTGGATTGTACTTACGATGGTATGTATCTGCATTTCCTTGTGATAGGGAAACTTCAATTATTTATGCAAGTAGTTGAAAAGGTAAGAGAAGTAACGGCTGGCTGAGGTGTGAAAGTAGTTAGAGTTGGCTGTATTTCCTGAGGCCACTCTCGTAAGTTCATAATCACTATTTTTTTTCTCGTGTGCCCATCCTTTTGTAATGGGTTATTGTTATTATTTGCGTCAATTCGGCACTTTCCACACTCTAAATATGAATTCTAGCATATATCAAGGCATACCATTTGTGTTGAATGATTTGGGGATTCCAGGTTATGAATCTGTCAGCTGCAAATTATATTCTGCATTTCCAAATCTAAGTGGAGAAGACCTAACCTTTTACCAGCTCTGGTTTTTGATCTTTCAAAGGAGATACCAAAACTTATTTCTCAGTTGATAGTAATTGAATTAGGTTCACATTTTTCTCAGATGTTTGAGAGTTTAACTCGCTTTGTATGGAAAACTGACGTTTAAAATGTTCTCCTAAAGGAATTATCACATGAAAGCTCTGACCTACAGGAACTGTGAATATATAAAATGTAAAACGATGTAAAGACTATCTGGATGGGCAAGGGTGTTGCATTGATGTTTCTAGAATGACTACCTAAAATCAAGTTACTTTCATGATAGATGGTAGCTGAAGTTTAATAGAGACAACCCTTTTTTTAAATCCAACACAAAGAGTTGTATGTGTGCATAAACTCTTCTAGTTATTTGCCCGTGATTGGATTGCCTTGTGTAGGTTATTAACTTAAAAACCAAATTTACTTGGCACATGAAGGCCTTAATTTCTTTCTCTATATGCAAGGTTCATATATGGGAAGCCAGATGTTCCAAAAGCCTCTCCAGAGATTACCTCTGAAGTTTATTTAGAGCTTGCAGAATTGCAGAGAAATGATGAGTGGGAGGCAGCTGTCCAGTTGGTGATCAAATCTGGTGATCCAAGTGCTCAGTTTTTGGCTGCCAATGATTGGTATCGTTTACGACGCAGGCTTGAAATCATCAAGGTCAGTTTTTGACGTTCTCTGGATAAATTGATGGTCTCTGACATCCCATCTCCTTCTGCCTTTATAAACTTGTATATATTGTGCAAACTATCTGCACCATGGATCTAAATTGTAACAATTATTCTTACTGGGGAAAAAATTAGAAATGAACTAAGGCAACATTGCTTTCCAAAATGGAGAATGCTTTAACTCAGACCTTGCATTCTCCAATGGCCCTTTCTTTTCGATTTACACCTGGGACTGGCTGTGGGCCCCTCTGCAACTACATAAGAAAAAATGTTATATAATGGCCTTCTCAATTGTTGCTTTCTCCAAATGGTGAAGATAATCCAAAAGCAGTTTCAAGTAGGTATATCCATTTCTTATTGATGTTTGTTTCGAATTTGCAGTCTAGTGGATCACCTCCATCAGCATTTCAAGTACCATATGATCATTTTAGGGAACAGTCCGATTCACACACGGCAGAATGTTCTCTAGGCATCAAATCTTCTGCTGATGGAATTCAGGGGTGTAAATCAAAGGATTTGGACTATGAGTTCATTTGTTTTTTCCTTTCAAGCCAAAGACTGGATCTCTACAGATCAATTGATTTCCGGTGTGAAGATATGCTTTCAGGTAAACAATGTCATGGTACATATTTTTTTTCATCCCCCTTCCTCTTCTTTCTGTCCTTTAGAGATCACAATGATGGAAAAGTTAGCTCAAATAAAAAAAAGAAAAAACTAAAATGTTTCTCCTGTGTCTTAAATCATCCAGCCAATGTGTTGGATCTTTATGGTTTATAGTTGGACAATTCTTTGTTTTCGTGTTCCTGGTGTTATATTCTTATTTATGACCAATTTTGAATTATGCCCCTATCCTGTCAAAATTTCCTTATCGTTTTGCATTTAATTATTTTAAGTTGCTTTTTTTCTACGCAAGACAGTAGCACCCATTTAACTAGGTTTTAAATAAGGATTCATTGTCAGTTCATGGGGGGACCAGCCTTTACTTCTTAAGGAACATGTCTTACTGCACTTCAAATATCATTCATCAGTTGTTTCAAACTTCATCATTATAGACTTAAGTCCAAATCAAACCTCATGTTTTAATTCTCAAATTTCCATGATCCTGATAAATTATTGGTATCGGTAGTACTGTACCAATCTCCATACTCTCACAATTAATACTTTCTATCTCAAATTCTCTCTGTATCACAGTTTTTGAATGCTGTACCCAATTTTGGATGTGGCTCATAAACTATGATATTTTTTTCTATCTCTGAATCGCAATCAATATGTTTTGTGGAAGTACAGAACTTTAATTTATGTGGAAAGAGTTTGTGGATATTGGTTGACTTTTATATTGAGTTATTTTGGATTTCTTAAGCCTGCTCATTTCCCAGTAGCTTATTCAAGAGCTTGGCATGATATGTTTACTTAGTTTCCTGTTAGATTTTTTCAAGGCTAAGTTTCAGGTTTTTTCTTCTACGTATTCTGTTGGCCAGTATGCACGACGGTAGAAAATGAGGTTTTGATTATCGTTGATAGTCTAATGTTCAGTTTGGGTAGTAACTTTAGTTCTGTTATCAACATCTAGTTGACTTTACATTGATAGTTGATATTAACAGTAGAAACTTGCGAATTTAGACTGTTTCGTATGTACTGATGGCTGTTGCTTTTAGGAGCTGATGGAATATTGTCAGAGGCAAGATGGCTTCTGGATCTAGGACTTCTGCCAAACACCAATTCTGCAACTCGAGCTATTGGTTACAGACAAGTATGTCTTGGACTCTTTATTGTTCCCTTCTGTGCATCATGTAGCCATCTATTTCATGATTTGCGGNCCAAACACCAATTCTGCAACTCGAGCTATTGGTTACAGACAAGTATGTCTTGGACTTTTTATTGTTCCCTTCTGTGCATCATGTAGCCATCTATTTCATGATTTGCGGACTATAATTTGTGTATTTACTTTGTCCTTTTGCCCTAGTAGCCCTAGAATAGGGTAATGCTAACATTCATCTCCAAAAAATGAATGTCAATGATTTAGTGGTAGACTGTGCTTTTACTGCATTATTTACTCTTTTTCTGTTGCATATATTTGCAGTAGATACTAAATTCAGATAAACATGTGACATTGATGCATAAAACTCAATAAGTGAACAAGGAATCCTTGTGCCCAAAGCTATTGCAGTTTTTAGAAGTACCTTACTGGAATTTGTTAATGTCACCTTGCTCACAAGTGTATGCACAGGAATATTTGTAGCATGATCAATGTTCAACTTGTAAGAATGAAGGCAAGAAAACAATTTTTGCCTTGCATTTCATGTTGATATTTTGTTTTTGTGGTCATGTTGAAAGAATTCAAAGGTTCAGAAATATGGAGCAAGTCAGAGAGTCAGATACACGGTGCTTAGAATGGCTGGTATGTGTAGGAGTTTTCCCTGAGCAGTAATATGTAATCGGCATCGTTACTTTTGGATGTTGGTGAAATTTGTACCTCTGTCTGTAGAGTTTCTGATCAGAACACTGCTTCAGGATTACATAGAAGTATATTCATTGTCAATCTCAAAGCAGACGTATAGCAGTTTTCAATATGCAAGGGAGATATATGCTAGTTATGTTACTTTTCAATAAACAGGAGAATGCTATGTTTTTCGGTAAGCGGGAGAATGCTTTGTTACATGAACCAAATTGACACAATTGGAGTAGATTGGTTTTGAGACTAATGTGTAACTGTATGCAGTTTGATCCGCATTTCACGGTGACCTTGTTCTGTTTCTAAACAATCAACCTTGGAAGTAGAAAGTGGCAGAGGTTGACCAAATGGTACTCCTTGTCTTGTGAAGCCTTTGTCTTGGTCAAAGGTTCAAGTACACCCCCCCCCAAAAAAAAAAAAAAAAAAAAGGCAATTGAAATATGCGAGGCTGTGCAGTTCCTTGCTTACTAAAATATTAAAGAGTAGAGAGTGTATTGGAAGAAGATGGTATTGGAGAAAATTAGAGAGACCATGTTCCCCCTGCCATCTCGCTGTCCCACCCTCTTTTTCTACCCCTCCCCAATCACAGTAACACACAGAAAAGAGAAAGATAAATTTAACTTCCCAATAAAGGCACAAGATGGAACAGTAGTATTGTGGAACCCACCTATAAGGCCATAATACGAATTTCAACTGGAATTCTAGGAGGTATTATTTGTCCAGGTACCTGTATAGGTTATCATAATAGAAACGTTTATGGATAAAACTGGTGAGGCATAAGTGCAATATGTAAGATTTATGTGTGGTAAGAGAAGGATGGACGAAATTGGGATGAGCACATTGGGAGACTGCAATGTAGAATGAAATGGTAAAAATGTGACAGAAACTAATTAAGATGATCTGTATATGCGAGCGTAGACTGAAAAATTGAGACAGTCCACTTTGATGGAAATGCCAAAACTGACATGGGTTGGTATATAATGTACTGCCAGATTTGTTTGCTTAGAGTGATGTTGTACTTTAGCGACTAGATGTATCAAGTAGTTGGGTAAGTTTACTTAGCTGCATTCGATTACGAGATCTTATGTTAGGTTGTCTCTTGTAATCTAACTTCATGTGGAAAATCTTGTGTGAAATTTGTTTGTAACATGATTTTTAAGTGCCATCATCTTCCAGTCATTTCAAGAAACCTTTTTTTTTGAAATGTTCATTGAGGGAGCCACATATACCTGTCATCCTCTTGATCTGTTTGAGATTCAATATTTGGTTTGGTTTAGTTTGGCTCGGTTTGTATCTAAGGAAAGGATATGAAAAGAGAATATGATTTCAAGTAGCTTAACTGCATTCCTTGTACAAATCTGTGTCTTTAGTGAGAATGCTTGTAAGGACTAATCTGCTATGTTTGTTAAATGGTGGTTTTCCCCAGGGAATTTGAATTTATATCACACGGTCTTCTTGTATTTTGATAGTTGTAGGATGTGTTTCAGGCCATGGAGTACCTACTGAAGTGTAGAGAGCAAGGGGGTTGGAGTTCTACGAGCGACTTTTATGCCTTCTTATCTGAATTTCAGAAAGCGTCTAGGTAATTTTGAGCATTTTTTGTATGATATATGTTCCTGGTCCCATGTTTTATGATTGGGCTTTGTTGTGTTTAATGTGTAATTGTCAACTTTTATCATCAGCTGACGCCAAAAGTCTGTTTGGCAGAAAGCTTCACTCGACCTACAGTGAGATTTAAGGCTTGTTAACTAAGGCCGAAAGCCACTCCTTATTGTGAAAGATTATAGAGCACACTCAAAATACTCATCAAGTTGTTTATATGGTTTATATAAACCCACTTGTGAAAGGACTGTGAACTACCATTTCCTTTGTAATAATGCCTGTTAGTCATGAGAGTTAAATTGATAATTCCTAGTTGGACCCAGGGCTATTAGTCCCAAAAGTGATGATTCATTTTCCAAATGCTGCTTATCGTATTGAAACAGTATCAAAAGTGGCTTTGCTATTGAACTATAGGTTCACGAGCCAATTGTTGAAATGCTAGTTCATTGACCTTGTCATAACCCAGTCTAAGCACACTGTAAGCCGTAATCTAAATTCAAATCTCAGAATTGGCAATTTGATTAATAGCTCATCTCTTTCTTTGCCAACTGGGTACTCAGTTTCCACCAGGGCTTTGTGATGCTTTTCTCATTGAGTTATAACCCAGTGATTAATATCTTGTCGTGCAGAAACTTTGCAAAAAGGCAAATGACCTGGTTCCGTAATGAGCACTTTTATCACTGGATAAATGCTTCCAGACCCTTGGTATGTCATTTTGGTTTCTTTGTGTGGCTGTGCATATATCTGTCTTTTTGTGTCAGGGCAATTGTCCCATGAGTACACATGGTTTTGTGCATTGAGTCAGAACGAAACGACACGATGTTGCCGTGGATGTTCAAGACAAATGGTGCATGATTGCGACTGTTTTATTTTTGTTGCTTTATTAGCATTTTTTAAATTACTTGATGAAGCTTAATCCTAACAGTGAGGTTAGCTAGGCAAGACGAAAAAAAGGAGGCTGGCTAAGCATATTTGTAATGCCGACTTTTCTTGCTATATGTTAGATGTAGACTGCCAACCAGGCATTACCTCTCCTAGGCCTTTGGACGAGCATTATGAAGAGCACTCAACAGTCAACACCGATCTTGGCAATAATCTAAATAAACTAAGCATTTTAAGCCTCCAGTGAGGCATTGGCCTGAAAATCATTCATTTCACTGTGTCGAGGGCATTTTTCAATTGAAAGTGATTTTTGCAGAAGTCACTCAATGTAAGCTCCTGGGAGGCAGTACCATATGCTTACAGCAAAGTAGTTAATTACTTCCTCTTGGGTTTATCTTGGAATAGTGCAACTTTCGCAGGAAACAGTGCTCAGCTTCATATGTGACGCATACCATCAACAAGCTGGGAATTTGACGGTGCCTGAATCACTAACTATGAAGAAAGATATATCAAACACCCGAGAAGCTTCAGAACTAAAGGTTTATCGAACCAAAAATAGGTATGTATTTGGCTATGATGAACATGTGGCCATATTATTTATCTCAAAAGTGAAAAAGCTAAATTGATTCTTTGCATATGAAGGCAATTCATCAGGCGTGAAGATTGTTCAGATATTCTAGACTGGATAAGAAGAACCCAGGGGCAACCAGCTGAATCAATTTGTTAACTAGTGTCGAGCGGGCTCGGTTTTCAGATTGTGGAGTTCGAACGCCTGAAATTCTTTGATATACTTGTGAAGGTTAGCTTGAGTTTATTGCTTTGCATGTTAAGTTTGCATTATCCCTTAAAGCTTTCATTGAAGATGGAATTTGATTATTTTGTGTTNTTTCTTTGCCAACTGGGTACTCAGTTTCCACCAGGGCTTTGTGATGCTTTTCTCATGGAGTTATAACCCAGTGATTAATATCTTGTCGTGCAGAAACTTTGCAAAAAGGCAAATGACCTGGTTCCGTAATGAGCACATTTATCACTGGATAAATGCTTCCAGACCCTTGGTATGTCATTTTGGTTTCTTTGTGTGGCTGTGCATATCTGTCTTTTTGTGTCAGGGCAATTGTCCCATGAGTACACATGGTTTTTTGCATTGAGTCAGAACGAAACGACACGNGGAAAAGCTGTTGAGCACGAGTGTACAAGTTGTGGGAGTTCAGGGATTAAGGCAGGCTGATGTTGAAATGAATATTTGTAAATTATAATTTTAACATCTTGTACTGGTCAAAACAAAAACATTGAAGGGTTTTTTCTCTTCTTTTTTTTAACGCCTTTATTTTATTTTTTTGTGTTTGGGTGGTGGGTTTTGGTACGAACGGGTGGAAAATTATTTTTTTTATTTTAATCAAACATATAAAAAATTTTAAATTNTTTCTTTGCCAACTGGGTACTCAGTTTCCACCAGGGCTTTGTGATGCTTTTCTCATTGAGTTATAACCCAGTGATTAATATCTTGTCGTGCAGAAACTTTGCAAAAAGGCAAATGACCTGGTTCCGTAATGAGCACTTTTATCACTGGATAAATGCTTCCAGACCCTTGGTATGTCATTTTGGTTTCTTTGTGTGGCTGTGCATATCTTTGTCTTTTTGTGTCAGGGCAATTGTCCCATGAGTACACATGGTTTTGTGCATTGAGTCAGAACGAAACGACATGNTTCTTTAGTTGTTTATTTTTTCAAAATTTCCCCCATTGTCAGTACAACGGAATAAGCATTAGAAGGTAATAAAAATGTTACATTGTAATATTTTTAATATATTAAAGGTATAATATAAAAAATTTTATTTTTTGGGGCATAAAATAAAAAATCATAAATCTTTCGGGGTATAAAATNGCTCCTGGGAGGCAGTACCATATGCTTACAGCAAAGTAGTTAATTACTTCCTCTTGGGTTTATCTTGGAATAGTGCAACTTTCGCAGGAAACAGTGCTCAGCTTCATATGTGACGCATACCATCAACAAGCTGGGAATTTGACGGTGCCTGAATCACTAACTATGAAGAAAGATATATCAAACACCCGAGAAGCTTCAGAACTAAAGGTTTATCGAACCAAAAATAGGTATGTATTTGGCTATGATGAACATGTGGCCATATTATTTATCTCAAAAGTGAAAAAGCTAAATTGATTCTTTGCATATGAAGGCAATTCATCAGGCGTGAAGATTGTTCAGATATTCTAGACTGGATAAGAAGAACCCAGGGGCAACCAGCTGAATCAATTTGTTAACTAGTGTCGAGCGGGCTCGGTTTTCAGATTGTGGAGTTCGGACGCCTGAAATTCTTTGATATACTTGTGAAGTTTAGCTTGAGTTTATTGCTTTGCATGTTAAGTTTGCATTATCCCTTAAAGCTTTCATTGAAGATGGAATTTGATTATTTTGTGTTAGATCGCAGCCAAGGAAAGCCTTCGGCTAGTCATGTACTGAGCATTCATCTTCGGAATATCTGGTTCATTCCGGGTTATGTACTGAGGAAAAGCTGTTGAGCACGAGTGTACAAGTTGTGGGAGTTCAGGGATTAAGGCAGGCTGATGTTGAAATGAATATTTGTAAATTATAATTTTAACATCTTGTACTGGTCAAAACAAAAACATTGAAGGGTTTTTTCTCTTCTTTTTTTTAACGCCTTTATTTTATTTTTTTGTGTTTGGGTGGTGGGTTTTGGTACGAACGGGTAGAAATTTTTTTTTTTATTTTAATCAAACACATAAAAAATTTTAAATTTTTTTTCTACCATTTTTATGCTAAACAAACGAATTCTAGTAAAACTTGCTTAGTAAATTTATATTTGTGCTCATTACAAATTTCATCCTTCTTCTTTTTGAAGAAAAATAGGTGAATTGTATTTTGTACAGTGAAAAATTTATAAATTTTTATTTTGTATTTTTAAAGATTAAATTTTTTATATTGTATTTTTAATATATTAAAAGTGTTGTAATGTTGTTCTTTAGTTGTTTATTTTTTCAAAATTTCCCCCATTGTCAGTACAACGGAATAAGCATTAGAAGGTAATAAAAATGTTACATTGTAATATTTTTAATATGTTAAAGGTATAATGTAAAAAATTTTATTTTTTGGGGCATAAAATAAAAAATCATAAATCTTTCGGGATATAAAATGAAATTCAAAAAAAGTTGAAAAAATCGCTAGTAAAGTTCACTTTCTCTATAAAGAAGACGGACTTCACAACTCTCGATTAATCACGTCTCTTTCTTCTTCCGTAGAATATTCACTTCTCTCTCTTTTTCTCTCCTCTCATTTTCTTCGCCTGAGTTTTCTCTCTCTAGAACATGAAGGCGGCGATGTTGAGATCCGTGCTCAGAAGAAGCTCCACCGCTTCATCGTCATCATCATCTTACATACTTCGCCGTGGATACGCATCGGAGTCCCATCCCGAAAGGAAGGTCGCCGTTTTGGGTGCTGCCGGAGGGATCGGACAGCCACTGGCTCTACTCATGAAGCTCAACCCTTTGGTTTCTAAGCTTTCCCTCTATGATATCGCCGGCACACCCGGTGTTGCTGCAGATGTCAGCCACATCAACACTAGATCTGAGGTAATCCCTTTCTTAAACCCTTCTGTTTTCCCCTTTGATACTGGCTGTAGTTCTATCTCTTGAATTTTGTTTTGGACTGTTTTAGTTTCATTCTGTTTATCTACTCATTTCTAGGATTTTTGACCTGTAACTGTTGGATTGCTCACCATTACGTATTTAAACTCCTGCCTGGTGTTTTCATTTGTTATATAGTGATCCTGTTGATCTTCATCTTCGAAGGTTTTTTGATCTCGTTATATTGGGTTGGTTTAACTCAATTCCTCATTTAGTGTGTTTTTTATTTTTTTTTGTAGTAGTATTTTGATTTCTCTTCTGTTTTTTAGCTTAGTTCCTCATTGTAGTCTCTCTCTCTCTCTCTCTCTCTTATATTATGGTCAAACTCATTTGACTAAACTTGAGAGTGCTGTACAGATACTGCTTGTATGCACAAATGTATATAGGACTTCAATTCATTTTATTCACAAATCTATGTGCTTGTTAGGTAGCTGGGTACATGGGCGAAGACCAGCTCGGGCAAGCTCTAGAGGGATGTGATGTTGTCATCATTCCAGCTGGTGTGCCAAGAAAGCCTGGTATGACCCGTGATGATCTCTTCAACATCAATGCTGGCATTGTGAAGTCCCTTTGCACCGCAATTGCCAAGTATTGCCCTAATGTAAGTCCCTTTCTTTCCCGATCACTTTAGTTACAGGTTTTAGTGTAGTTTAGTATCTAGCAGCTTTTAATGATAATGCTAGATGTATTATCCTGATCAATTGGGTTTGTGATTTGTGTGGGAAAACAGGCACTTGTTAACATGATTAGCAACCCCGTGAACTCCACCGTCCCCATTGCTGCTGAGATCTTCAAGAAAGCAGGGACATATGATGAGAAGAAACTGTTTGGTGTAACCACTCTTGATGTGGTTAGAGCTAAGACTTTCTATGCTGGAAAGGCGAAGGTCAATGTTGCGGGTATGCTTATAACCCATTTTCTCGATTGGAACTCCTTGTCTTGTTTCTTGTTCAAGCGAATAGTTCCTGTTTTCTTATGTTTATTTCGTTCACTTGAATTATCTGTTTCTCTGTTCCAGGGGTCAATGTTCCTGTTGTTGGTGGACATGCTGGCATCACTATTCTTCCATTGTTTTCACAAGTACTACCTCAATTTCTTTATGATGATTTGTTCATCTTCTGACATTTGGTATTGTGGAAACTTATCATTTCATACCCTTTTTTGTGTTGATTTGTGTACTGAATTCTAATAGGCCACACCAAAAGCCAATTTGCCGGATGAAGACATTAAGGCTCTGACCAAACGGACACAAGATGGTGGTACGGAAGTAGTGGAAGCGAAGGCTGGAAAGGGTTCAGCCACACTATCAATGGCGTAAGTTTGAATTGTAGCATTTCATTTTCATTGATTCTTCACCACTCTGGTCAAAATTAAGTTTGGATGTCTTAATGGTGAGAGATACATTGATGTACTTTTTTGCTGGATGAGTTGGTTAGAATTGGATTTTGATACTTATTGGTGGTATGTTAAAAAGGAGTATGGACAGTTTAACAAGAGAGTTCTTATGCTAAGATCCAAAATTTCATTAAAAATGCCCACCTGAATTTGCTTTTCACTATTTAGCTTGGAGTTGAATTCTTAATATGTCCCATTAGAGGAGTTCATGTTTGGTGGCATTGCCTGGACCAGAAAATGTATTTGTAAGAGCATGAGAAATGTTTAACTGGACAAGTGCGAAAGTATGGTCACATAAGAGTTAAAGCTGGGTATATACTTTCATTTTACTTTAATATGTTTCAACTTTCTGACTCGTGGAATTAGATTAAGCATCTTATAGGCAGATCATAAAAGTGGTGGGTACCTTTGAAGCATGTTCAGTTGTCGTCGTTTCAACAACTAAGAAGTTGGTATTCATATCTGGATCCCCATGAAATTTTGTCAAATTTTTAGTTCTTTTGTATGTTTTATGCTTTTCTGGGAGCTGTTTGGTGGTTGTATGCATGTGGTGCAAAGTATTGTTGCATGGCCATTTCTTGGCATAAACTCAGAACTAGGCAACAATAATCAAGGNGTATGTTTTATGCTTTTCTGGGAGCTGTTTGGTGGTTGTATGCATGTGGTGCAAAGGATTGTTGCATGGCCATTTCTTGGCATAAACTCAGAACTAGGCAACAATAATCAAGGATAGTGTACATGTGAAAGGGTGTGTGCTTTGCCCACTTTTCTTATCTTATACACCCCTCTTTCAATTATTACGTTATGTAAGTTGTATGTTTAAAAGTTACAGGTGCAAATGTTTTCGTACAATAGTTTCTGGCTAATCTTCTGTGTTCCTTGCAGCTATGCTGGGGCCATATTTGCTGATGCTTGCTTGAAAGGACTTAATGGTGTTCCAGATGTTGTAGAATGTTCATTTGTGCAGTCAAGTATCACTGAACTACCTTTCTTTGCATCTAAGGTAATGCACATCAACTTGACTATGATGCTTCTCTCAGAGGGTACTGTATGTGTACTCTTCTATCAATGACAATGGTAATATCGTGAGAAATGTTTGCGTAGTCAGNTCTAAGGTAATGCACATCAACTTGACTATGATGCTTCTCTCAGAGGGTACTGTATGCGTACTCTTCTATCAATGACAATGGTAATATCGTGAGAAATGTTTGCGTAGTCGGTTGATCTTATGTATTTCTCTGAATATTGTGTTTGTCATTTGCGCATGTCTCATCTTTTTTTTCCCCCATAAGGTTTTGGTGTTTGAGTGTGAAAACATTAGCGAAGTTCAAAATGCTACAAGTGAAGCCATTGTATTTTTAAATGTCAGGAACTTCTCAAATATTGGTTGCAGTATCTGAAACCATTTTTCTCGATTCTCTTGAGAAATTGGTCTGTTAATCAATTTCGTTAGTCCAGGGTGTACATAGCATAAGCATTTATGTAATTATGTGTTATTAACATTAAATATTTTTGCTGGGATAATCTTGTCAATGATTCCCCAGTTGGAAATGTGATCCTTCCCGTCTAAAGAGGATTAAATCTAAAATCTATTGCTGGGTTAAAGAATACATAGTATGTAAAGTTCATCTAATTCCCATCATCACTGTGAATGGCATGAGGATGTAGCTGAAACTGTGCTTGGCTTATTGTAGTTGAGGTCCTTAAGTGCTTGATGACGTAGATTGCACGGGGTGCTTCTTATTTGCTTATGTCAAAATCCTTCATTAGAGGTTTCTGTTTCTGCATGTATCTCTGATGTGATATATATAGAAACACCAATGCATTGTTCGTATGGGCTGCCCAGGTGTCATGATTTTGATGATTGAATTTATTTATTTAATGGAGGGAAAATGGTTTTAATGAGTAAATTCACGTGTTTTGAACACTGATTTTATTGTTCTAAAGCCACACATATGAAAGTTGAAAATATGGATGATAAGGATTGCTGAAGACTGTTCTAAAGTGGTCACTGCATTCATGACTTGCAGGTGAAGCTGGGGAAGAATGGTGTGGAGGAAGTCTTTGGGTTGGGCCCGCTTTCAGATTTTGAAAAAGAAGGATTGGAAGCTCTCAAGCCCGAGCTGAAATCCTCTATTGAGAAGGGACTCAAGTTTGCAAACCAATGTTAACTGAAGTTTACAAGTCTATTGGGGGAAACTCTCTCCCCGTTACTAAGAACCCATCACAATTTTGCACTTTTACCACTGTTGTGGTGTTTTAGCTGCGTGTTATGCGGCCAGAGACATTGGGGTTTAGCTGTTTCCAGCAAAGTCAAGTTTAACAGGGTTTAAATACTTGTACTGATAATGCCAGCAGATTAGGTCTATCTGAGCCAAAATACTTTCGTTAATAATGTCGGTGAGGTTACCAAGCAATTCACCTATGAACAATCTATTGAAGTATGATGATTCTTTCCATCATGGTTGGCCTTTTAACCACATGATACATTGTCATCTGTGTACACACGCTATTGATGTGCTGGCATTGACCTATGTTACTTACCAGTGTAGTCTGCAAAACAGAAAGAACTTTGTTCATCCATGCAGATTGGTTTCTACTGCCTGTAATGAGGATGTATGTATGTCCAAGGACAAGTGCTTGCCCGTTAAAGCAATGCTTCCATTAAGTGGGTGTTTAGGGTAATTGGTATTGCTAGATTGTTTAATTTGTACAGGGATCTCTGGTTATAGGGCTGGGTGTTTATGGTAATTTGTATTGCTAGATTGTTTAATTTGTAGAGGGATTTCTGGTTATAGGGCTGATAATTGAGAACTCGAGTTGAGTCTATCGAATCAATTTTTAAAACAAGTCAAAAAAATTATTCAAGTTTGATTTGTTTAAAAAATGAGTCAAGTCTAAGCAAAGTCTAAAATGATCCGAGTAATTTAATTATTTATATATAAATTAGTTTCAACTTTGCCAACTTGAGTTGAATTTTTTAAATTCGTTATTTTAAACAAAACTAAAAAATTGTTCGAGTTTTGTTCGTGTAGCTTGAATCAAATTCTATACATGTCGAGCCCTAGTCTAAATAATTTAGTTCAATTATCAGTCTTACCTGATCATGTTGCTATAAGTGTAACATTAAAGTAGAGATTAACCATAAATTTAGCCATCTTGAGTTTAACTCTCACGGGTTAAAGATTTAACCCAGACTAGTAACGGACAAGTGATTTCGGGCATTCAAAGTCTAGGTTGAAAGAATGGACAAATGTTCCAGCTCGGACATGTTTCTCATTACCAAGAGAAAAAAAAAAAAAGACAGCAAAATAGACTGCAGCAAAAACTGTACACACGACTGTTCCTTTTCCCCCAACAGCTATCTAACGTTATACAACATGCACCCCTACTATATCATAGNAAAAAAAAAAAAAAAGACAGCAATATAGACTGAAGCAAAAACTGTACACACGACTGTTCCTTTTCCCCCAACAGCTATCTAACGTTATACAACATGCACCCCTACTATATCATAGCAAGCACCATATAAAATTACTGTCTCAAGCCAGATACTTGCAGAATCAAAAACCTCTATCGGTTGTACGCAATGGATGCCCTCTTTTATACTAGAAGATAACTATACTGCAATGACATGACTAAAACCTAGAACAAATTTCTCATAACTGAGATTGACACCAATTCTTTATAATTTACATTTGCTACATGAAGTCTCCCCACCACCCACCATAACTAAGATTCTCTCCAATATTCTTAAAAAGGAACCACCTTAAAAATTATAGACTGTGAAGTTCAAGTGAGTGTAACTCTCTGAACTCCAAGTCCATGCACCTTTCAAAATTTCAACAGAACACATTCTGTTCGGCAGCCAGACAATAATTCTTCTCCAACAATGCCCATCGTTTGCAGAACCAAAAGCATTCTCAACAATCGTTTATGTTTGTAAAGGAGTGTGGGCCACCATACAATCAAAAAACATATGCTGCAAAATTTAAAAATATATTAATTATTCACAGTCCAATCTACCATCCCTTAACAAAACATCTAAACAGCAAACATAGAAAAAGAAACATACAATGAGGCACTTATCAAAAACTGGAAAGAAACTGGCCTAAATGGAAAAGCCCAACGTAGAAAATAATCTTTTGAGTTCATATACCACTTCTAGTTATTTGGAATTCTTTCCCAATTAAACTCGAGCAATGTTTAGTATAAGTATATACATATCACCTTAGCATCACAACTCGCAAGATCTAGAATTTTTTTTTTTTTTTTTTGAGTAAGTCGAGAAATACATGTTAATAATAACAGAATCTAAACTTCTCAGAGACATGAAAGATCTCAGTTTCTTTTCTTCTACATTTCATTCCTCACCCGTTCTTATACAACTTACTTATCATCACCTGTCACGACCATCTTACCTTTACCTAGAGTATTTTAGCTATCCGCAACCTTATATTAAATCTGCCAACTCCAAACAATTCAATACATTCAAAATTCCCTGAATACTCTACAAGATGGTTTACTGCTCTACTTCCTCAAATGTATCATATATTTTTTGGGAAAGATGATTCAAGTGACAACACAGACCCTTTAGAACTAAATGAGACGTATAGAAGAGAGCCCCCGCCAACCTAAAATTTCTCATCGTTCTGCACAAATATTACAAGAATCGTGGGTCGATCTGGCATGTGGTATATGTATGGGTACACGGTACGTTACATCTTCCAATACGCGGTGCGAATAGGGTAGGCTTAGTTGGTATGCTATTTTGGGTTGTGGCTCATTTCCTATAGGTCGCTTTTTCTCTGTTAGATGAGATTATATATAATTGTACATTCATATACATATAGTTAACTAGTATTTATTTTGGGATTTGAGTTACAATTTGGTGGCAGGAGTTTAAGTGATCCCCATATCGCTAACCTATCCTGTTTCGGATCCTGATTCGTAGGACGTTAGATGTATCTACGATCTCCATATCTATGTTCTGCAGACATGCTCTGTGCATATTTCAACTTGGATGATCAACCAAACCACAAATAGTTCAGACAAGAATCCTGCCACGAGCATTGCATTCAAGCTCTTATTCCATAATTGTTGGCATCTGAGCTCTTGGTATCGTGAGCATCCAACTATTTAATCTCAATATTTATGAGCTCTCTACGGAAAGTGTGAAGCAAATTTTAAGTAATAATAGTCTTCCAAATACTACATCTTAGCAAAACAACAAATAAACGAAACCAAGATACTTATTCACAAAGGACTGAAATTAAGGCGAGGTGCTTGGCAAAACAGGACTGAATACGTCATAAGATGCTATGTTGTCTAAAAAAGGCAAATATGTGTCCAACGGGTATTGCTTTTATAGGCCAATATAGTCCATTAAAGCAACATTAACAGGTATAAGTATTGAATAATTAGGTAAACTGTCAATAGAATAAAAGAAGAAAGAAATTGAGAAATGCAAGAGGGATCTAACCACTGGTATTACAACAAAGATAAATCAGAACCAGGACTATAATGTTGTCAACTGGGTTAACTTGGTTCCTTCTAAATTGGAACGTCATTGAATCCATGATTAAACTTTTTGCATCCATCAATGCTCTCTCCAGACCAATTGGTTGGGTGAAGCAAATTCAAATGGTAGAAAAATATGGAACCATGGAAATAAATGAATGATCAGAATTAACCAAATATACATGGTAAGAAAAAAATCTGGTCAAATGCTTCCTTATAAATCTAATTTAAAAATGAATATACTAATTAGGCCTCATTCTACCCGAAAGATAGAAGAAGTCAATTAACAAATGAGATAGGTATCTTTCATTAAAAAAGCCATTCCTTCCCACAAAAACACTCCTGCAACTTATGAAAACCGAACAATACGGAAAAATATGTGAACATGACATGAATCCAAAAAGCAAATAACATATCGCAGGATAAATCAGTAAACAATTTTTCTGCATATGACTTGGGCAAAAGCGAGAAAACCAGGAGCACAATTTGAACTAAATTGCACTGCAGTTCTACCGCGGGGACTGGTATACTCCACATGAATGCTTTAAATCAGATAACAATATTCTATGCAAAATTGGTGATGAACAGGAGAATAACCTTCCAAATGTATGCTGTAAACTCTCTCTCTTTGCATCCCTTTCAAGATGATAGGCATGCTCATGGCAAAGAAAGCATAATTCAAAACTCCTACCATACTACCAAATGAGTCCATCAAACAACACATTCAAACATGAAAGAGTNTATGCTGTAAACTCTCTCTCTTTGCATCCCTTTCAAGATGATAGGCATGCTCATGGAAAAGAGAGCATAATTCAAAACTCCTACCATACTACCAAATGAGTCCATCAAACAACACATTCAAACATGAAAGAGTTTCATAAACAATTCAAAAGGAGCCAAAAACACAGAAATAGATGATGCAACCATAAAAAACTTCCTATTCCAGATTTTGACGAGACTAGCCTACATAACAAAGCAAGAGCCAGAAATAGATTAAACTTATTAGCATCCTACCTTTGGTCAAATCCATTCAAGTCCCAGGTGAATGCCCTGCATCTGATCCATATTCAGAGGAACTATCACTATCAGAATCTGCAATTAAATTATGAAAAAGTGAACCAGGGGATGTATTGACAAGATAACCTTGTTTACCAGAACTACAACTAATATATAAATTATGGTGTGATAATAAGCAGATAATAAAATTAAAATTTACCGCTTGTAGACGATCCAGAATCACTACTAGAACTGCTTGAAGTACTAGACCTACTTGCATTCTGCCCTTGCTTCTCCCCTTCAGCAGGAGGGAAAGAAGAAACATTTGTTTGATCTGTTCAATTGACATAATTGATTACAACAGTGCAATATGATCAAACTGCCATTCAAAGCCGGCATATGAACCCAGGAAAAAATCCATAACCCTAAATTTCCAACCCACCTGTTTTCCTTTCTTTTGGTGCTTCCACAGCAACTGGATTCGGGTTCTGCAATTGTGATAACACAAACCATGCTCCTCAATGTAAAATCAGAAGGGCAAGACAGAAACATTTTACAATTCAAACTCTTACCGTCGATGGAATAATATGACCAGCTTCTGCTCTTGCTTGAAGGGCAATTTCAGCTTTCCGCTTGTTCTTGCTCAAGTTCTTCTTGTAATTGGTCACAAACCTATCAAGTTCCCAGAGTGTTTCTGCATCAACACTATCAATGTCCACTTCTATCTCATCATCATGCTGAGATAGCGCCGAATTCCTTTTCTTGATGATCTGAACTATAGCATCAAGCTTTTCAGAAGGCAAGCTCTGAAGGTTGGTGCTAAGCCTCTGCTTTTCGTCAAAAGTCATGTCTCTTTTATTGGGATCCTTAGCTTTAGGTTTCTTTGGAACAGGTGTCCTTCCAACAGGAGCAGAATTTGAAGGTTTCATCTTGGAATCAGCAGGGGCTATCATGGATTCTGATCGCTCCAAAGTCCTAATTAGAGAGGCAGGGGGATAAGCAGGAGGAGCCTTTCTGGAAAAGGGAGTGGGTAACCCAGAATCATGATACATTTGATACCTCCATTCAGGATTATATTCAGTCTCTGTAACTGCCCACCTCTCTTCAAAAATCTGTGACAACTGTTCTGCCATAACGTGTACATCTTGCCCTTTTGGATTATAGGTCATGGCATTGTGGAATGTAAGTCTCACATCCTCTGCGAACTCCCTTGGAGATTTGTACCAGTTCTGAGCTAGCCTAGTCTTAATTGTACCCAAATCCATTGGGCATTTAATAACATCATGATAATCATGCAACCCCAATGCCTTTGCATTCACTGGCTCATTAAACACCCAACCATGCTTGTGCTTCATTAACCTCTGAAGCAAATTGCTGCAAGCCCTAAACACTTGAGTCCTGTTCTTACCAACACCAAACCCATAATCCATCTCTCCTCTGTGCTTCTTCCCACCATTGGACTTCAACTTCTTGGCACTTTCTGGAGGTAACCGATCCTTCCCAAGAAGGAAATCTGAGTTCCGGTAATACTGATTAGCCTTTGGAGTCCTCTTCTCCTTCTCAACAAATTCCCCACCAACCCCAGGAGTCCGAGTGTTATCGCTAACTGAAACACTTAGCTGGCCAGAAGGCATGGAATCATGCTGTCCCAGAGGACCCACCTCCGAAGTTGCTCTCAATAATTCCCTTCTTTCTCTCAAACCATTTCTCGAATATTGGGATTGAATATAACCACCACCAACAACACTGCCATCAGTAGTAGTATTATACCCAGTAAGCTGAGCCTCCTTAGCTTCAAGCTTCTTGGCTAAACTCCTAACCTGATAAAGCTCGCAAATTAGCTTCCGCCTAAGCTCCCTAATCTCATTCTTTGGTCTCTCTTCTGCCCCCAAGTTGATCTTGACTCTATCATCAATCCTTGTAATCAAAGGCTTCACAAACCCGTTCACTGCCCCATTTCTGCCAGATGGCCCACGCTCATCCAGCACCACCGCTTGGGGTAGGCGATTGTGGCTCGAGGAATCATCAGACACCGCATCAGTTCGAGACTGCGTCGGCTGCCGCTGCCCAGCCGAATTCGCATCTTCTGTAGCTAACGTTTGCGAAGACCGTTGTGGAACCTTGTCGTTTTCGTTCTTGGTGTTGTTATTCTCGTTGTTATTATTGGTGTCGGTAACGGTGGTGGAGGGGGTAGCAGTGGCGGTGTTGGAGGGGATAGTAGTGGCTGAGGTGTTGTTCTTGAGGGTTTTGCGGTGGTGAATCTTCCGCGTATAAACTATTTGATTCTCACCCCACCTATTCTTCTCTCTCGAATTCGAATCGTTGGCGCCCAAGGTCCCCGACGCCATACATGTAACAACACCCACCAAAAATAAAGCCCTAATTTTTCGAAATCTTTTGTCAACAACCCCAGAAGTGCACTCAATCAACTTGATTTTGATCCAAGACTAGGGTTTCAAACATCGACGATTCAATAAATCTAAACCCTAGAGTATAGGGGTTCAAGAAGTTTAATCATTTACGGAAGTAGGGTTTTGGAGAGTGAAAGAGAAACGATCTGCAGGTAAAGAAGGGTAAAAAAAAAAAAAATTAAAAGAAAAATAGATAATTAGGGTTTTTGATTTTGGGAAAAAGAACAAACCCGAAAGAGCGACGCACCGACAGAGCAGGTTGGTAGTCGATCCGAATTCTTCTCTCTCTCTCCCTGTCCAGCTTTCTCTCTTTACTATTTGTGTCGAAGTTTACTCCGCAGATTCAAAACACGCGCTTGATTGCCGAATGATGTAAGGCGGTTGGAAGCCACGTTGGACTTTGATGACGTCATTCGTGAGCGTCAGTTTCAAACTGTGGCAGCATATCAATCGCTATACATGCCCGTGCGTTTCACGATATGTTCAGCATGAAGATAGAAACTAACTAGTTGGGTTTTAATTCCATCGGATTAATTCGGATTCAGTTTCAACTTAACCCGGAATAATTAGTACTTAACTAATGAATTTCGGACCGCGANCACGTTGGACTTTGATGACGTCATTCGTGAGCGTCAGTTTCAAACTGTGGCAGCATTTCAATCGCTATACATGCCCGTGCGTTTCACGATATGTTCAGCATGAAAATAGAAACTAACTAGTTGGGTTTTAATTCCATCGGATTAATTCGGATTCAGTTTCCACTTAACCCGGAATAATTAGTACTTAACTAATGAATTTCGGACCGCGAGACAGGTTGGGAATAAAAAAATTTCTATATAATGTAAATTCGGATGTTACTCGAATTGGAGTGTTGGAATCTATTCTAATTAACGAATTTAAATTTAATTAGACTGTTTAATAAGTTCAAAGTTGAATATTAACAAAAATTCATAATCATTTAACTGTGTGTGGTTCATAACAAAAAAAAAGAGAAAAAAAGGCAAATGAAACTCAGAAGCGGTGACCATTAGACAAATCACTAACCTCGTTCAACCTGGGAGAACATAACCTTAAGAGACCTAAAATAGCCTTTCCCTGCCGGTTTATATTGCTCAATTGGAGTTCTAATCCATTTAACAGATACTAGCTTGAACCTAACTTCCAAATNTCAAAGTTGAATATTAACAAAAATTCATAATCATTTAACTGTGTGTGGTTCATAACCAAAAAAAAGAGAAAAAAAGGCAAATGAAACTCAGAAGTGGTGACCATTAGACAAATCACTAACCTCGTTCAACCTGGGAGAACATAATCTTAAGAGACCTAAAATAACCTTTCCCTGCCGGTTTATATTGCTCAATTGGAGTTCTAATCCATTTAACAGATACTAGCTTGAACCTAACTTCCAAATTTTTATGCACTTTCTTAACTATTCACACAATACCAACTTTATATTTTGTATAGAAACAAAAAAGCATTAATTTTTAATATACATGATTAGTAAATATAGGCATATATGTCAAAAATTACAATAAGCTTAAAAAAATTTATGATGCAAAGCTTTGTTATGCCGAAACCTAAATATTAAGTCAACAACACTTCCAAATGCCTGTTCTAATGATTCATTGGGTGGGATGGCGAAACGAACCAGGGATCAATTCTTTTATTATGATAAGTCATGGGCTAACCCTACANTTTAATATACATGATTAGTAAATATAGGCATATATGTAAAAAATTACAATAAGCTTAAAAAAATTTATGATGCAAAGCTTTGTTATGCCGAAACCTAAATATTAAGTCAACAACACTTCCAAATGCCTGTTCTAATGATTCATTGGGTGGGATGGCGAAACGAATGAGGGATCAATTCTTTTATTATGATAAGTCATGGGCTAATCCTATAACTGGTTCCCAATTTTAAAGGAATTCTTGCGAAGATGGCGGATCCTATCGTAGGTGCCTCTACATGAGCTCCGGGAAAGGCCCTACGGGGTCCTTACTTGTGTGAGGCTCCGCCCGCTCACGCTCCTGGCCTTGTTCAAATTCGGCTAAGCATTATCAGAGGAGGTTAATCCAAAACATAGGTTTAAACAAAAAAGTTGATCNTGGCGAAACGAACCAGGGATCAATTCTTTTATTATGATAAGTCATGGGCTAACCCTACAACTGGTTCCCAATTTTAAAGGAATTCTTGCGAAGATGGCGGATCCTATCGTAGGTGCCTCTACATGAGCTCCGGGAGGTTAATCCAAAACATAGGTTTAAACAAAAAAGTTGATCCAATTCAATGCATTCCACTCGAGATTTTTAGGAAGGTCAACCTACAAACCAGCAGACAAAACTTAAGAATGCATATAATATCACTTTTACATTTCATGTTAGAAGCTTTGTGTGTGTGTGTGTGGGGTTGGGGGGCTGAAGAAAAGAACTCATACTAATGAAGTCTGAAAATAATGGAGGGTTGACAAAATGTTTAAGGAAGCCATGTGCAGTTCACTAAATTCCATGAACTAGATGAGCTCCGGCATCAATGGGAGGAAGCATTAATATAAGTCACTCCAGGAAAGTATATGTGTATTTAATAACAGAGAAACATATTAGTCCGAGCTTCTAAATAACCTTCAAAGCAAATAAACCATTGAACATTTAACCTTTTTGATACTTACAGGCAATGGGCTTGAAACAAAAGACTTGCAAAACTTCATCTACTGTTTGGTTCTTCTCTCTTAGATCTTCAACAGTTCTCACTATAATTCTTTTCCTTGGCTCCTCCATTTACTTCTTTGTGCCCGTGAGGTGCTTCTGAGAACCACCCTTTTGGGCAGAGTAAATCCAATTTAGTGGCGATCTACGGGAGGCTAAATTCCCATGGAACAAGCTTTGTTTTGGACCAGCATTAGAACGGCTCAAGCTCGCTGTCTTCTCCAAGACATGGCCAGTTAGTGCAGCCCCTGGTGGCATGGAGAGACAAGCTTCAACTTTATACAATGCTCTTGCCGCAAGAGGGCATGAAATTCATGTTTTCACGGTGCCAGGAGACCTCACCAAGGCATCCATGAAGGCAACCGTCCATATCCACTTTGCAGCAAATGATCATGGCTCGGTTAATTGCTCTCTAGCATTTGATATATTCAATCAAGAAAACATAGCTGGTGCGTTTGATTATGTGCACAGTGAGAGTGTCTCACTGCCTTATTGGCGTGCAAGAACATTGCCAAAAGTGGCAGTAACATGGCATGGAATATGGTATGAGATTATGCACTCCAAGTAATTCCAAGAGCTTCTTTCAAACCCAAATGGGGAATTTCCAGGACCCATGACTGAACTTCAAGAAGCAATGCTCCGATTCGTCGACGAGATTAGATTCTTCTCAAGCTATACCCAACATATATGCATAAGCAACAGTGCAGGTGAGGTTCTAGTCAACATCTACCAGCTGCCACAAAGGAATGTCCATGTCATTCTCAACGGAGTTGATGAGACAAAGTTTGTGTATGACCCAGAAGCCGGTGCGCAATTTCGTCGAAAACATGATGTGCCCTACAATGTCAGCCTAGTAATGGGAGTTGCAGGGAGGTTGGTCAGAGACAAAGGACACCCACTACTCTATGAAGCCTTCTCATCAATAACCAAGCACCATCCTGGTGTTTTTCTACTTGTAGCAGGTTCAGGTCCATGGGGAAGAAGGTATGCAGAACTAGGCCTAAATGTGAAAATTATAGGCGAATTGAATCCATCGGAGCTGGCTGAATTCTACAACGCCCTCAACGTGTTTGTGAACCCGACGCTGAGACCTCAAGGACTTGATCTTACATTGATGGAACCAATGCATTGTGGGAAGCCAGTTCTGACCCCAAATTATCCGAGCATAACCGGAACAGCAGTTTTAAACTAATGCTCCGTTTTATGAGAAGGATGAAACGAAGGAAATGAGCTTTGATACATTTTTTATCCTAGGAAGAATACACTTTCTTTCCTTTGTGTTTGGTTGGACGAATAGAAAATAAAAATAACTATTTTTTTGTTTTTATGTCGGCTAAGATTAGGGGTGAAAATCGAATCGTGTCGTGTCAGATNCTTTCCATTGTGTTTGATTGGACGAATAGAAAATAAAAATAACTATTTTTTTGTTTTTATGTCGGCTAAAATTAGGGGTGAAAATCGAATCGTGTCGTATTAGATTTGTATTAAGTCATTACGAGTTTGTGTCGAATATTAGTCAAACTTAACTTAAGTCATTTAACTAATTATGTCGTATCGAGTGACGATTTGACCTGTTTATTTTCGTATAAAGTTCGAGTCGTGTCATCGTATTGAATCATAAATTTTTATCCTTAGTTAAGATGGAAAAAATATATATATATATATTTTTAATTTTTTTTAATTTTTTTAATATATATATATATATATATATATATATATATATACTTATTTTACCATTGTATTTTTATATGAAATTAATGTATACATAATATAAGTATAAATAAAAAGATATATAAATAAATAAGATACATCTCAACATAAATAATTAACTTTCCATCCACTTTCCTTCCAATTTTGAAGAAATTGATTTTGTGAGTTGGAAAGAAAGTTAATACATCTACTTTTTCATCTTACCTTATCAAATATGATGTTTTATTTATCTCTTTAACTTTTCATCCCTCTAACTTTTTATTCTCTCACTTTTTTCCCGTACCAAATAGAAGATAAGTGTTTGGCTACACATTTTCGCCGAACGTGGAGTCTTTTGTTGAAGCCTTGGAATCTGCCATAAGAGATGGCCCAAAGGTGTTGCAGAAGAAAGGAATGGGCTGCCGGAAATATGCGGTTTCGATGTTCACAGCTACTAAAATGGCGTTTGGCGTATGAGAGGTTCTTCCTCTGCATGAAGAACGCTAGATATTGTCGGTACCCTCTTCCCACAGACTGTTAAGGGCTCTTTTAAATTACCCTTAAGAGTAATGTTAGAAGTTGTAATGTTATTCGATTTACATCGGTGTATGAGTTGAAAAATCGATTCATGCGTTTAAGATTTATCATTGGTTCTATTTAAATTCAAACTTGAACGACATAAGCGTGTATACAAAAAATTTTCTTGTTAGTTGCATTTTTTAATGTTTCTTGAAGTTTTTTTGTTACAAGTAAAATTTTGTGTAGCAAAAATTATGTAAAATTTTGTGTAAAATTATTACATTTGTAGGACAATACTCCTTTGGAGGAGAAAATTTGTATCAATTTATTGGGCTTCCAGTTTTGATAGTAGTGGCCCAACAGGTTGACAAAGCCTACTTAGCTGGACATATGTTTGTTATTGAAGTATCTTGGTGGGCTATTTCATGGACCGGGCTTTAGGCCCTATATTCTCACAAAACTAAACACATTTCATGGGCCTAACCTTTGCTGGCTGGCTGCTTCACATAACATAGACACATGTACTTGTTGATGCAAATTTGGAAGTCACCTCCATGTCAAAAAGTTGGAGACCGGAGGAGGAACGCTAGGGGTTGATCCTATGATACTTAAGTCAGTATTTCGGAAGAGAAATTAGCAGTGACTATTGGGTGAGTATTGCACACCTCGTGTTTTTTTCTCGAGCTCTATTTATAGATGTCATGGTGAACTCTAACCTCCCTTATCCACTGTTGGAAGGAAAGATTCCTTCTAGGATTTGATTCTAGACTCTCCAGTTAGTTTGTTGGGAGGATAAGACTCATCTCAAGTGGGGAGTCTTTGACTCAATGTCTGAGTTTCCCAAGCGTTATGTTGCGAAGAAACTCTGCAGAGTCTTACCACCTTCTTTATTTACTATATTTGAATTTTTGGAATACTTTATAATTATATTTTGCATTGAGGATTTGTGCTTATGGGTGGGGGTAAATATTGCAGACTAGCGGATCTGATGATCGATAATTGTTTGGACTTGATAAAGGTTGTGGTGGCACCTGTAGTAGGACAAATGACTTATTGCAATGCTCGTAAACCAATTTATGATGTCTCTGTCATTGACGTTTGTCAAGCAAGCCACATGGATTGGTCAGGGTCTTCTTTAGGGGTGCGACTTAGGCGGGTTGGAGAGTTAACTCTAACCCAACTCTAAATATATAATATTCAACCCTAAACCTAACCCTAACTTACCTCGGGTTGAGAAATCCAACTCGAGCATTGCCCGAGTTTAATTCAGGTGGGCTCGAGTTGAATTCAGGTTAATGATTTTAGTCTGATTTCGGGTTACTTTACGAGTTCAATTTAGGTTGAGTTCGGGTAGAGTCCAAAATAGGTTTGTTGTTTTAAACCTAATGCATATATTACATAATATTCACATAAATTAACAACCAATAACTTCAACCAAGTTTTTAACGATGCTAATACTAGAACAAAAATGAAAATAAACGAGAAAGACAGAGAATGATTGAACAAAAATGAAAAATTAGTGCTAATACTTTATATATATGTGTAATTTTTTTTTAATTTGTCAGGTTCGGGTTGAACCCGTGAACCCGAGGCCTTAACCCAAGTCCAACCCAAATTAAATTCGGGTTAAAATTTTTTGACTCAAACTCAACCTAAGTATTAAAAATCTTTGCTCAAATCTTAATTTTTTCGGGTTGGACTCAAGTTGAAATCGGGTTACCTAACCCAAGTTGCACCCCTAGTCTTATTTGGCTAATGATACCTCAATCCCAAAGTCTTCGAAGTATATTTTTGATACGCACCTCTATTTGTATGGAAAATTCGTTGCAGATAGATCTTACCTAGTGTCCCCCTCCTTCCCTCATCACCTTTTGACCTACGGGAGTATACAATGACAACTTCTAGACACTCATGCCCGACCGTGAGACTCCTGTCGAACGTTCAATGGCACCAACTCTTTTGGCGCTAAATTGTTCCTTTTGACTAGGGATTCATTTGATTTTTGAATTACTTGTGATCTTATTTCTTGGTCCTTTATCAAGACTCAATCAACTGGGGCAAAATTGATTACCAAGCTTGGCCATGGCTCAAAGGTTTTCTTATCCTCGATAGAGGCTTAGAACTTTCTAAACGGTAAAGAGAGCCTCTTCAAGTGGTCCACATCTATTATCATGGACCTTTAAATTATTGAAAATCTTTTTCTTTATCTTTTTTCTCAACTCCTAATGCTAACATTCTTCAATTTCACACTAACATTATTTGGTATTCTCATTCCAATTTCTATCATCATCATCGCAAGTTACGAGTTTGAGGAGTATATTCAAGGGGGTGCAGCAAGCCCTCCCCCCAATGCTAGAAGTTTATGAGCTACTTTGGTAACTTTTATTTGGGATTGCTCATGTTAGGGCTTTTCCTAGAGTGTTTTTTCATTTAGCTCATTTTTTTTTTCATTAGTTGTCCCTAAATCAGTTTTGTCAAACGTGGTTGAGACGTGCACCTTATTTTGTGTGACTTCCTTGGGTGACAAAAGTAAAATCACATTAATAACCCATTTTCCCATAGAGATGGAAACGATCACTGAGCAAAATCTAGGATCATAAGGACATGAATAACACCTCTTTCAATAGAAAGGAATGCTCTTTCGAAATGATGACAAAAAAAAAAATTGTTGCATCTAAAAAAATATTTTGGTACATTATTGCCAAATTTTTTAAGTTTTGTATGTTGAGATACAAGTTTTTAAGTTTGTTTACAATTAAAATTTTTTTAATCTTTTGGGTTATGTAAAACTTTGAAGTTTTGAATTACAACTTTTTGGGATTAATTTATATCTTTTGTGGTAGTTTAAGATCGATCTTATTCTAAACTTCCATTAAAATTATAAATAATACCCAAAAATTGTAAAAAAAAATCCCACAAAATGTGTAATAATTGTACGGTATCAATTTCTTTTTACCATAAACTTCTCTTGTTGGTAACATCAAGTGGCGCAAATTGGGTGAGTCAAAAAGTATAAGCCACTTTCATGGTCTATATCAAAGGAATTTAAGAAAAAAAAAGGTAACGGAGGGGATTTAAATCTAGAATTTCCCATATTCAAACTGGTTAGACCGTGAAACACGGTGACACACTCGACATGGACAAGCACATATCAAAAGAAAGAACTGACTTGTAGATGCCTTAGTGGTGGATGGTGAATGATTACTTTGCAGCCATCAACATCACAATGAAAGAAGATCTCTATAAAAAACACAGAATGAGAGTGAAAGGGGGGAGTATTTGATAGCAATTGAGAAAGGGTTTGGTAAGCACTGACCTCATTGTTTTGTCACTCTATAATCATTGGTTTGTAACTAGATACATTCCTTTTGTAACTCTTAGAATTTCAATCTATTGCCCGATTTCCCTCAGCACCAAACACTGTTTTGGTACAACATTTATGGTTTTCATTAGTTGATAAACTTGTTTCCTACAAACACTGTTACAAAGAGAGAGGAAAATGACAAGATTTAAATTTACAATCTTAAATTTAAGATTCCAGTGATGATCATTAGATCAACGATTATNTTTGGTACAACATTTATGGTTTTCATTAGTTGATAAACTTGTTTCCTACAAACACTATTACAAAGAGAGAGGAAAATGACAAGATTTAAATTTACGATCTTAAATTTAAGATTCCAGTGATGATCATTAGATCAACGATTTTCCTCATGGTTCTATTAATTGCTAAATAACTTGTTTCTTCCATTATTGTTGTTGTAGTTGTAGATCTACANTCCTCATGGTTCTATTAATTGCTAAATAACTTGTTTCTTCCATTATTGTTGTTGTAGTTGTAGATCTACAATCAACTAGAGGGTCTTTATTATTTTCTTGCTGATAATGTATGTAGTATTGTATCAAGATTGGTATATCAAAGAAGCATTGATTTTTGTCGGAAAAAGTAATGTTGCGGTAGTTCATTTTAGGCGCACACTTATC